GAGCTTACTGTGTATTCAATGTTACTGTAGTCTTTGGTCACAAGGCTAAAATACTGGCTACAATATACACTACTGAGCTTTACTGTGTGTTCATTGTTACTGTAGTCTTTAGTCACAAGGCTAAAATACTGGTTACAATATACACTACTGAACTTACTGCGTTTTCATTGTTACTGTAGTCTTTAGTCATAAGGCTAAAATACTGGTTACAATATACACTACTGAGCTTACTGTGTGTTCATTGTTACTGTAGGCATTAGTTACAAGGGTAAAATACTGGTTACAATATACATTACTGAGCTTACTGTGTGTTCATTGTTACTGTAGTTTTTAGTGACAAGGCTAAAATACTGGTTAAAATACACACTACTGAGCTTACTGCGTGTTCATTGTTACTGTAGGCATTAGTCACAAGGCTAAAATACTGGTTACAATATACACTACTGAGCTTACTGTGTGTTCATTGTTACTGGAGTTTTTAGTGACAAGGCTAAAATACTGGTTACAATATACACTACTGAGCTTACTATGTGTTCTTTGTTACTGTAGTCTTTAGGCACAAGGCTAAAATATTGGTTACAATATACACTACTGAGCTTACTGTGTGTTCATTGTTACTGGAGTTTTTAGTGATAAGGCTAAAATACTGGTTACAATATACACTACTGAGCTTACTGAGTGTTCATTGTTACTGTAGTCTTTAGGCACAAGGCTAAAATATTGGTTACAATATACACTACTGAGCTTACAGCGTGTTCATTGTTGCTGTAGTCTCACAAATCAGTGTTTATCACGTGTCCAACACAAATTGAAGGAGTTGTAATTGTGACTGTGTGTCCTTGTGTCCACTACAGTCATTACAAAGGTGACATGAAATGTTAATTCTTATCCTATTGGGCGCATGCGTGATATGTCATGAAATATGAGACTGTCTGTTTCTCTTCAACACAGCACTGAGGCATTTATGATGAAAGCACCCACATTGGTGTCCCGGTGTTATGCAGAATAAATATGATCTTACAAAAAATCGCAGTATAGTTTCCTCAACAACCAATACAAACAATGTTGACATTTGAATAATGTTCACTGTTCTATGATCACTGCAGGGTTTCCTGTATAATTCGAGTTTTATGATTTATTGTACAATAATACAATGTGTATGTACAAATAATATTTTTTTATTTATATCGAACATAAACATATTTGGCATGTACATATGAAATATATCATACACGAATTCGAAAAACATCATGAAATACAAATTCCTCTGACGGTAGCAGTGGAAGAACGCAAGAATTTCATTAAGTGTAATTACTTATGCCACGCAGTTTAAAGCTGAATTCCATATGAATATATTGGTTTGTTTTCTTTTCTTTCAGATTAAACAATATTCTGAGGATATCCCTATACAAAGAATAAAGGCTATTAAAAACGAACACGAAGTAAATGGCATGAAAGAAGGTTATGTACGTATCGTATGTGTTTACAGTGGCATATTTGGTTGGTTAATATATTGATCGATATTAAATAGATGCATTTGTATTACAGTTGCAAGATGCTGCAGCTAAGATTCAGTTCTTACACTGGATACAAAATGAAGTAAAAAGTGGCCGTACAGTGACCGAGCTATCTGGGGATATCAAACTCCGTGAATTCAGGGAGTAAGTCGATATAATATTTATATATATTTATAAGTAAATATTATTGACACAATTTGTATGAATACAGTGTTGATGTCGTAATGTATTGTTCATTCCAAGTTGATTGCTTGATTCTCAGAAAACAGCCAGACTTTGTGATGCCAAGCTTTGGGTCAATATCTGCTTTTGGACCGAATGGCGCTGTCATACATTACAAGTAAGTTATTTATCACAACAACCGCAACTATATAGTATTTAACAATTTCATAATATAACAATAGTCAGGAAGATAAATCAAAGTAAGTATTATGTTTCATTGAAATTGTGGAAACAAATCCAGTTATAAAGGCCAACATTTCATTTGTGACTGGATTGAAAATTTTACTTATTGTGCTAATTTTGGTGTTGTAATACCAAAAAGGTCCACAGAAGAAACAGACGTCGCCATCACAGACAAAGACTTGTATTTATTGGATTCTGGTGGCCAATACAAGTAAGTATCAACCTTTGATCAAATTAGTTCGCATTTTGATTTTCAATTTAATGTAATGCGATAAAATACAAGAAACCTCAAGTTACATGCAGTTCTATTGAACTGGTTTATCAGCTATCGAGAATAACGCAAAGTAAGCTATAACGTATTTCCACATTCAGCTGGCGTGCAGGTGATAATAAAACAATTCATTGAAAATGACACACTCCCTGTTAAATTTTTGAAAGTTCTCTTTGTATTATTCATATTAAAGCGGAGGTGTTGTCGCGAGCGTATCCTTGAAACTTGAGTCCCAAGTGGCATATACAAAAGATTGTTTATCTACATCAAATTCGAACACGTGTTGTGTGACGACCTCTCTGGTTTAAGACATGGCAAAGCCAATCATAGATCACAAGTGAAAGTAAAACAAATTGAGGTGCATTTCTATGTTATTGCACTTGCTGAAATTGTTAAAAGTATGTTTGAGAAAATACAAGTCTGAGGATGGGAATGAGGCACGAAAATTACATTACCATACATCTCATGAATATGAATGCTTGTTGCCATGGTGCCCTACAATAATTTTTTTACATGGGGCTTGCAATGCTAACATGTGTAATGACCGAATTTGAGATTCTAGAATAGGGAATACAGCAATTGCAACTCTTTGTAATTGTATTGTTCTGGACTAAAGTGGCTAATAGACCCTTTGTACAAGTCAAGCGCCCTCCTGTGTTGAATAATATGGTGATAATAAATATCAGTTCAAAATAATGCGTTGAATACAATTGAACGTTTGTCATACCTCTTATTTAAATTCACATGGCAGGGGGTGTCAAACAATGGTGATCTATCTGTAAATTACACTTGCCCGTCTACATCATAAAATTACACAAACCCTCCCGCAGGGGAGATAGTTCGTCAGTTTATTAGTGTAAAAAGACTATATCCCCATAACCATATCATACCATACCATACCATACCATGAGAGACGGAAAGTAATCTCAGGTATGCCAAAGGCACCTGCTCACTGTGAGAAAATGCAATGAGACATGTAATTGGCGAATTAAACAGTAGCATCAATGTGAATCACTCCTGAGGGTGAAAGACAAGCAGAATTAAAGCGTACGTCAGACTAACTGGAATGTCAAAAAAAGACTCCAACATTAAGAGCAAGTTGGGCATAGTCCCGTTCAAAAATGTCTAAGCATGTCAAAGTTATCATATTTTAAACAAACAAGATGGCCGTTAGTCGGCCATATTTGATCAAATTGGAAATTGAATTGACATGTACATGTATCCATTTATGACATGCTAAATATCAATGAAAATAATACATGGGTGACAGATGTAATATGGCCAAAAATAAAAACAGCCGTTATTTGATCTGATTATGAAACATGATGCATGTGCCAAATACGAATGGGAAATATAGTAGTAAGGCCAAAAAGTAAATCGGCCATCCTTGATTCTATTTTGAAACAAATTGTCATATGCACCAAATAATGAAAACTGACAAAGCGTGTCCAAAATACGACATTTTCAAAAAACAAGATGGCTGCCAGTCGTCCATTTTGAATCGAATCACTAAACTACTGCATGTGCACATGTCCCACATAAAAGTACTAGTCACATGCAAAGAATGAACGGAATTGGTCAGAAGGATTCTCAAATACGACTCAGACGCAGGAGACCGAATTATAAGTCGGAACGGGGACTAATAAATGTGATCAATTTACCGATATATACTATATATTTCGTGTAATTAGGTGTTCGTATGCAAGGGATGTTTCCACAAACATAATGAATTTGAACGAATTTTATTAGTGATTGGGTTATTCTTACCCAAATGGATGTAAAAGTTTTGTACCCGGATTCGTTGGAATTTGAAAAACGCGTACTTTAATTTGTCTCCTTTATTTAGTTTCAAACCGTACACAAGATGCTTCCATACAGTAAATATCGGTAGATTAATCACTTGTACGCCAGCTGACTGTGCGTATTTCAAACAAACATAACGGTAGCAATATCAATTACTTTAGGTGTGGAGCCACTACCGACACGACAAGAACCATGCACTTCGGAACCCCTGCTGACAGGCACAAAGTGGGTATCATCGTCATGAATTCTAAACTCAGAATTTTCTAATGCTATTAATTGATTTAGTGAAAATGTTTTTATATGCTTCAATGTTGCATATGATAAATCAATGTAAATATACATTACCTTTGGTTTGTATATGTAAAATAATATTCAGTGAAAGATTTTCAATAAGAATGATCATTTGGTGCAAGGCTAAACATATTTAAAAAGCCTGTCAAAACACATTTTAGACACAGTGGTCACATCAATAACAGAAGAAATGGGATAAGAAATATAACAGTTTTGTGACATCATTTGGAATGTACGTGTTATATTGCAGGAAGCATATACTCGTGTGTTGATGGGCTCCATTGATTTGTCACTGTGTATTTTTATCAATGGCACCGGTGGTGAGTGTACTATATATTTTAATTATATTGTCTTGTCGTATCAATCGTTTCTACGAACAAAACAAATTGTTTCTTTCGATGATAAATAGAAATAGTGTAAGGGTTGTATTGTACTGTAGATGTCTATTGTCATTGTGGTTTGCCGTTTGAAATATGAATTTTGCTGTGTATGATGGGATTTATATTTTTCCAGGTAAACACATTGACGCACTTCCTCGGCAACACTTGTGGAATAACGGTTGGAACTATAACCATGGCACTGGCCACGGTATAGGCGCTATGCTGAATGTACACGAAGGTATGTTAGTATTATGTAGTTTTGGATTCTGTTAAAGTGGAAATGTGAATACTTTTGAGTATGTTTAAAGAAAGTTAATATTCTTTGTAAATAGTGTAATTTATCGTACAAATAAAAGTGTTTCAGTGTTTATTTGATAAAATAATGAAATCTAGAGCGCGGATGCCTGTATATTGAGGCAGCATGAGAGCAAACGCTTTATTATAATACTGGCTTTTCTAATACTTAGTGTTTGCAAGATTTTGCGATCAAACATACCCACTGTTTTTTTTAAGATACAATATCAGATAAATTTGTTTACACGTGCTAAAAAAACAAATTCTCTACATTTCCTTCTCAAACAAGTGATAAATAGGATACATAAATCTCAATGTAGCCATAAGACAATGCTTACATGGTGAATATCAGTGATCTTATTTGACGTCTGGTTTTCTGATTCAAAGATTTTGACATTTATTCTTGTTCTTCTTTTTCAATTAGGTTCTTTCAATACAAGGACTACGGTTCCTCTTGTAGCAAATGTATTTATGTCTGACGGTGAGAATTACAATTTTCATTTTAGTCATTATCACAATTACAGGTGAAACGCATTAAAAAATTTAAGGCTTTAATTTTGTGTATATTTCATTAGAACCTGGCTATTATGAGGACAACGATTATGGTGTTCGTCTAGAGACTGTGGTGATGGTCGTTGAAGCTGAAACAAAGGTATATGTATATATAACATGTATATGGGATGAAGGGACATGCAGGCATAAGCATACAAACAAACAAACAAACAAACATACGGAAGGACGGGTGGATGGACAAACTATTGTTTGGCATATTTCTTTATAGCAATTTTTTGTTATCGTTTATTTCAGTACAATTTTGGAGATGCAACGTTTTTCACCTTTGAAGAAGTCTCGTTTGTTCCCTTCGATCCTAAATTGATCAAATATGAACTGATGTCTGAACGACAGGTAATGTCTGTTTTCTCATTCTATTATGCATAATGCCACTAACATTTCTTTTAAATGGACACGCAACTTTCTTACTACATTGCTCAGCGAATATTCTCTACTGACCACGTAAATATATTCTAGCATAGATTCAGATTACCGCATAGACAATTGATATCAACAATATCCAGTAACCTTCTGTAAGTTTGCGTGTGACGTTGTGCCATTTGATGAAATTGTTAGATGGTGCAAATCAAATTAGTATTGGGGCCTTATGTTTATGTGTGGAACACTATGATAGAAACATTGCCAACAGTAACAGAAATTAACCCGTAGACACATGTTGGATTATAGTGACAGCCATACTTGATTTGATAATGTCGTCAATATTTTATTGCAGATCGAGTGGCTTAATGATTATAATATTAAAATCCGTGAAAAGGTCGGTCCCCGAATTAAGGATGTCAACCCTGAAGCCTACGAATGGATGCTGGGACAAACAGAACAAGTGGTGAGCGATAGTGACAGTCAACGTGTGGTTTATAGTGGTGTCATCCTAGCTGTTCAAATGTTCTGTGTGATAATGATGGTTTAATATGTTGCAATAAGCATATTGCATTGAGTAGGGCAGTGGGACAATTCTCTATTTAGTTTAAATTATATACGATTGAATTTATAATTTGTAGTTTTGAGAGGGGTAGTTTAGTATAAATGTTTGATAATTAAAATGATTATCTTGGCTACCTTTGAATGTACTATATATTGTACTAGAAACTCACAATGGACCGTAGTATATTTGAATAACATGGTGCCCATTATATAATTATAAATCAATGTATAACTCAAAATATAAAGGTACATGTATAACTGATGTTGCCATGAATCTCCACTAAACTTTGTGACTTTATTACTAATTGTATCTAACCAATAATTGTAACAAGTCATTTAAGGTAGAGATGCAGGTTCGTGGGCACTTGGGAGTGAATTTTTTTTTGCTTTTTATTGTCCAGATAGTCTTGGCTAGACTGTAAAAATTTTGTAGAATTGTGAATAGTGAAACACTCAAAAAACGATTTTAAAATATAGATAACAGGTGTAAACATTCTTTTTTTGAATGCTGAGCAATATTTAGCAAGGCTGTACATAATAATCAAAAAGAACCATGATAGAAAAAAAAGTTATGACGGGATCTCCATATTACTATATTTAACTTTTTACAAAACGATAATAGATTTTATTTATGACCATTAGCTAACTTCTTACTGAGTGAATTGTTATGCAAATTATCAATTATCTCAGTTTCTTTTTAGTGCACATCCCAGAACTTTAAAAATATTAGCTCCTAGACACTTTGACAAATGATTGACAATGTGTTTATCTTCAAAACGCCGTTGGGGCATTTGTTTTGGTTGAACAGTGTTACAACAATCGTACACACAACTAGCCTGAGTGTTAATTTATGCATAAACTTGAAGTAGTGAAATTTGAGTTGCTTCCCTGCAAAATTGACTACTGG